AATGTTTGGAAACACTCATTGTGTGTCAGATAGCTACTGATAACACATCCTAACATTGCTTTGTCTTGAGTTTATCTTTGAAACTTATAGGCACACAGATTAAACCTGTGTTGTTGATTTTGGAAAACACTACTGTCGCTGTCATGCTCCCCTTCAGAAAATCTACATTTAACCAACTTACATGACATTCTATGTTATGTTGACTTTATCACATGAAAGTTTATAGTGCATTTCATCAATTAATAAATAAATGTGGAAATCGTAATTTTCAACACAAATAATAGTCTCGCTACCTTAAATAAAACAAAATTTGCACATTTTGTGCTATAGCATAATTTTGTTCTAAAGGGTATACTCATAGATTCTACGGGATTGTTACAAGAATACCGCACAGTATGCACGAAGGCTGTACGACGATCGTATCGACCGACGCGTACTGTCTGAGCGCATCTTTTGCGGTACTCTCATGATAACTTTACATTGCGCCTGCTTGTAGTGATTTAACGAGAGATAACAAAACGAAATGTCAACGAAACATGCGAAATGTGCGAACGTTTGTGTTGTGATTATATTACCACCACGCGATACAGCGCTTCTGCATCTGATGTTTTAACGTCGACATGGCGCACACATGAATGACGCGACTTTAACACTTTAGAACACGTCCTTACGGCGTTTGAATTATACTGCTTTCGGTGGAGGATGTATAATACTAGATAATACAAGATCATTTTTTAGAAGGTGGCGTTTCTTAGGATTTAAATTTAAACTCAAATGTGAATCGAAACACATTTTGGATCATTACAAACTTTACGTGAGATTCGAACTTTCAAACGTGACTTAACTGTCTTAAAAAGAACAACTCGAAATGACATATAATGAGTAAAGTACTATAGTGAGAATGTGAGAAACATAAAGTATGGTGACACACCGATATGTGTTATGTATTTAAGGTTCAATACAAACGTTCGCAGATATGATTTTCCCAGATAAATCTGCGTACCAACAAAAAACACAAATTTTCAACTAAAAAAATGCTTAAATAAAGCACCAGACATGGAATTGGAAATTGAAAGCATTTGAAGCGCTTTACAACTACAAGAATCCATGATTCCTAACACGAGTATGTTGATGTGAACTCATCTTATTCAGTATGTATGTGTGATGGATGTGAGCTTGTGAAAACCAACCAAACGTTACAAAGATTAACATTATATTTATCATAATGTTTACCGCTGATACTAGTCACTGTATATGTTACTGTCTTTAGAGTAATATACAAGCATAAATGTTATGTGTACACACAAGTTTGGCAATATAACTTAATGCAGTTATCATTCCAATGCGCGTAATCACAACGAAATACAGAGTAGATTACAATATACATGCATTGTTCGAGATCAACAAACAGCGCACACAAATTCAATGTAATGCCTTGTTTTATTTTTACAGATTACGAATATTATATAGTTGACAGTGAGAATAATTGGCTTTACCACAAACTGAACTGTGTAAACGCACCAGATGGGTCATTAGCTATTATAAACACTGATGCTCAGCAAAATGAAGTTGTCGACTTGATATTACAATATACCGACGGTAATCAGACAATCAAATCACTCAATTTTAAGTTTGAATAATAATGCAAAAATTTTATGATTTCTCTTCACTCGTCATCAATTAACATTTCAAACAGTATTTTGAGTTTTTTTCTAAACCCGTCTTTTATTAACCCGATTGTACCTTCACAGCTTGTGATTGGTGTACACTTTATAAATTACCCATCTAATCTTCAGCACACTTGTGGCGGTGTTATAATTGGTGGTGTACTTCTGCTTTTTTATCTATCCTAGGATTAGAAAATGTAGCGTTGAACAAATCTGCAAACCAAAGTAGTGACATTGATCCTCTAGAAACTGAGGATATGGCATCAAAAGGTGTCGATGGTGACATTGATCAATGTACAGAAACGTATTCCGGGGAACTGGTTGATGATCACTGGTGGAGAGTGGACCTCGGGAGAAATTATGCTGTACTGAATGTTACAGTTTATAACAATGTTTCCGCAGGTGGTGGTAAGTACTTGTGAGTTATCAGGAAGATGTCAGCTGATATTACAGTACATGCCGAACCGATTCATGCTAAGTCCACATTCTTGACTCTATAGGAACTCTGCTTTCAAGCGCCGAGATTCGCATCGGTGATTCCGAAGAAGCCGATGACAACGAATTATGCGGGATAATTCCATCAGACGCTTCAAGCAGTGACAGTTTCTTCGATGTTTCTTGCGGCGATTATATCTATGGTAGATATGTAAGCGTTGAGAAGATGCAAACTGCAGACCCAATTGCGCTATGTGAGGTGGAAGTGTGGGCGGTACCTGGTAAGTATAGTGTTCTCACATCAATGAAATATATACACAAATAATGAAATTACATTCCTTGTAGTGAAATTATTGTGACATCATTGTGTTTGGGATCATTTAAGCTATCATTGTTAAGTATGTGTGGATTTATAATATGACAGAATATGCCTTCTCTGTGATCTTTCCAATGACTAAATAAATACAGGAATATAATCAAACAGAATGGTCTACTTTATTGAAACATGTGAACATTTCAAGACTATTAAATAAAAACAATGAAATACAGTAATGAATATTTCTGATGATTACAAATAAATAGTGTAACACGGTTCCAGCTAATGTACCACACATTACAGCTATGATGTCGCCTACGTAATTACGGCAGTGGTATTCGACCAGCGTTCCCAAAACACTCAATGTTGAATATAGGCCTGGAAAATTTCTATGATGTAAAAATGTATTTTATTATTTTTTCCGGTTTAGAGTGTGCGTTGGGTTCAGTGTACATTGTATGATTTTATAGTTGCATAAATCTAGTGTTACAATTGCAGTATCGTGTGTAGAATTATGTTGTCGTGTAGCCTAATGACCATGCAGCATTAGCTATTCTATTAGAAAGCATATAAATATATTTTTAAATAATGGTTTTCATAAACTCACATGTATCATTTTATTCCAAAGAAACTAATATGTATGCGAGAAACTAATATTGTATGCTTCATCTTCTAACACGCTACGTACATAATTGCATAGTATAGTGATTTTTTTATAATATATTTTGTTCAAATATTACTTATTTATTTGTTATTTAATTAATTTTATTCTATTTTACTTACATATCTAATCATTTATGTTTCATTTACTTTATTTACATATCGAAAACGCATAATACTGTACTGTGTGATATATTGGAAGTTGTAAAAAATAGATAGATATGTATCATAATTGATGATTTCACCATGTCCAAAAACACTTTCCAATGTGAAAAACAATTTTCCGTTGTTTCTCACTATTAAAAACATACTCATTAATATGTAGTTTCACATCCGCCGATCTTAAATACAGTAAAGGTTGCATACGCTGGTATGCACCAATGGCGCTTTCAAAGGGTGGCATCAGTGCACCTTCAACATTGCATACGAGAGCGCCTACCATCGCCCAACACCACACTTACACTTGGTGTTTCGGCACATCACAGGTAAATTTTCTAATAAGCTAACTCACAAACAAACATGTTATTCGAATAATTTATCACTCTCGTTGTTGTAGTCTGGTTTATCACAACCATTCAGTAGTACAATCGCACTCGACACCTATAACTGCATCTAATATTAACCACTCAGTCATTTTCTATATCTACCAGATTACTGGATTGGTGTCAATGAACTCGACAGTGAAGTGGGTGTTTTTCAACACGTTGATGGGTCTTCCATGCAACAAGAATTTTGGCATCCCGGTAAACCTGTAGAGGCTTTCGTGATGAATTGTGTAGCCGAAGTAACGAAAAAGTAAGCCTGTTCAGTAGAAATCTAGTCTAAGCATGTACAGAAACAAATTTGATTTGAAAAAGATTTATCATTTAACAAGCTGCTCTCTAATTGTCGAACTTGTAGGTGTTTAGGTAGCCAATTAGTATTGAATATAGGTATTACCTGACCTGATATTTGTGTGTTGCTCGTAATAATGTAATAATGTCTTGTCGTAATAATTGGTGAAATATTGTTGTAAAATTTGAATGTCACGTCTTCATCCAATATATTTATATATGATAATTATAGTCAATATAGTTATTCAACTTTAACTTTATTTTCGACAGCTATACAACATTGTGGAGTGATTTCAACTGCGAACGTGAGATTATGGCAATTTGCCAACGTACAGGCAAGTCGGAACATTGCACAATGCACTCTGTGTTCTTTGATAAAATCATATTTGAATCAATTGAACTAATATGCATACTGCATATTTTCATTAATAACGTTGACATCTTTTATCTTTCTCCACAGTTCTCACCACGACATAAGCCTTGCCGCCGCCACCTCCTTAATAGCATAAAGTATCGACGCCTGCAATCACATTTCGCTTATATTCTAGTTGAAAAGTAAAACAATTATATTATTAAAACAACATTTATTACAATGGTGATTGGTACAATGTAATATTGTAATTTATATTGACATGTCGATTTTCTTGTTAGACCGTTCAACTTGAACAGACATACTAAGTATTTGAGTTTTAACTGGTACCGTCTTGGAGCGGTAATTGTAGAAAACTAACCTTCCATTACTCTCATATAACCATTTACATATACTGAATTGTATTCTCAATTTCTTCAATTTACTTTAACCAATTTACCCAAATAGTTAGTCACTGTGTTTCCTAAATACATTGATCATTCATGTGTTTACTCTTTTTTAATTTTATCAGATTTTCAACAAATAATGTATAACGCATGTTCATATTTTAATGTTGTTAGTTTAAAAGTACACGATCAATGTATATTATTGTAGTAACTTAACGTTGTATATCGCACTTATGATGGAAGTCATAGCCGCAGCTGATTTCTGTGTGTTGTTAATGTTCCGCATAAAATATACTTAGAATTCGTTAGTATATGACAATGAAGACGTAAGATTTAGTTTGGTAGAACATACAGGAACCCAAAGTACTAATTGTAACAGTTGAAATGTATTTACATAGATATAACAATATGACTAGGTATTTAAAAAACTACAAAGAATAATTTTTTTCATTACTTACTTATTATCGTTCTCTAACTTGAATACTACATTAACACTATCTGACTATGTATATGTTACATTCAATGACGTGAAGATGGCAGTCGCCCTTCATTAGTTCCACTTTTACTATTAAGTAAAATTAAATAAATATATACTATGTTTTCGCGTTTTTGCACTCAATAAGTATTAAGCTGTGCATGTTAAATATTGGTATGAATTATCGCCAAATATTATATTTAGTATGGGATTTAATCATTTTATTTGGTGATTGTTTAATGAGCTGTCAACATTATATAGAGTATATAGAGACATTCATTTGATTTTAATATTTGATTTTCAATGGGATATTATATTCATAATAATAATAAATTAGCTGCTGTAGGAAAACAATTGTGTTGTGTCTTTTGTGTTTGCCAATTACTAATCTGTAACGAAGGATATGAATACTTCTTCGGTAACCTTTAATTTAGAAGAAAGCACATTCATCGAACAAGTTTCACAATATTCTAGTCCAAATATAGCAGATTACAGTGAGTGTTTTATTTCACATTATATGAAAATTCTAGCATCAACTTTCTCATTAAAATTACAACCTTGCAAATTCTGCAGGATGTATTATAAAATGTGTTTTCGTTGGAATGTAGGTCACCTTAGGTATGTTCAGAATCCGCGTAGGGTGGAACTCTATGTTAACAATATAAAGCGAAGACAGTCTACACATAAAAATGCATAACGTGCTTCGAACATGCAATACCTTGCAGAATAAGTGTGGAATTAACAAAAACTAAAACAATTATGACAGTACAGTTATTAACAACAGGAATGCACAGAATTCCGGTATGTTTTAGTGGGCTGTTCATAAGAGGGAATGCGGAATCGGATTATCGTACGTCAATTAGAATTAATTTGTGGCAAAAAATATTCAATTAGTTTATGATTGATACATTTACACTTTTTGTAAAAAAAATACCTAGTATGTAATCAGTAGAATAGATTTAATGTTCCGATGTAATAATCTTAATACATAATACATTAAATTGATTTTTTATAAATATTTTAGCAATATGCAAGGATTTATTTACTAGGGTCATACAACAAGGAGAGTTGTCTCTGAAGATTTTAGCCATTCTTTAGGTCAATTGTACATACATTACTTATGTTTTTGTCACTGTATTTTATGATAATTTACCTACAATGAGAGTTGTGTTAAGCATTGGTAAATAATACCACCAAACATTAAATGGCGTATAAAGTTTAATTATTTTATATGGTAATTGTGTAACAAGCGTACTTGATGTTGATTTTATATAATTAAAACAAAAATTGTCTTTTAATCAAGATTTCAAAATAGAAAGTGTAATAAATTAGTTATTTTGCTATGATATATTGTCTGGGTCTGTATGACACCGATTGTTGCAATTATGCATAACATAATAATACTAATAATAGCTTCAATTTGTATTATTTACTGACAGTAATTTGGGTATACAAACTACATCACAGTTAATTATTCATTTTTTAATGTAAAGTGCACGATGTGATGTTGTGAATAGTTTTAGAGATGACGACACTAATGGACTAAATAAGTATATTTAAAAGTTTTCAATCGTCTTTACTCATTTTTTAATAAATATATTGTTTATGTTAGTATGTTGATTCAAAGGAAAATTCAAGAAAATGTATAGCGAACATTTTGTCTGTAGTATAATTGGTTTCTATGATCGACGTGTTGTGCTTGATGTAAAATTATTTGACAGCTACGTAAACACATATAACGTGAAGGGTAGTGGAAAGAAAAATTGTAACACACAAAAGAATGGTGCTTTATGTATTCATGAAACTAACTATATTGCCACGATTGTACATATTATACTAGTTAAATGTGCATTGTTATTTAAATTATAACCAACTTTCTCAAAATTATTGATAAAAACTAGTTTAGAGCATAGTTAATAATATTATTTCTGGTAGTTACATTACTAGAAGAAATTTACTCATTAAAGTAAATCTTAGTGTTATCTTATATTTTAACTATGATAATGTAAGTACATTTAGTTGTGCATAATTAGTAGTGGCGGGTATTTTAGCTCTAGCATAGTGTCGGCTTGTAGAAGCAAATGCATCCATGCGCTTTGTTAGTGAATTAGTAGTAGTATTTATTCCTCTTTCTTTTTTTTATAAAATTGCAAAACGAACAAAATATTCTAGGTTTCATTTACGCACAAACGAAACTATTTTTGTCTTAAAACGTAGTTAGATTGAAATGTTCTATATCTGCACTTACTTTGATTATAATCAGTGTAATACATAAACATTAATGTGATTATATTAACAACGCGCTGAATACACATCTATATTTGTATTGCATTTTATGATCCCAAAATTGACTACATATATGCACTGTACGACACGCAAATCACACGTTTCCATACTCCATACATACGTTTGATAGAATTACTATATTGATAAAGTTATTGATTAAGTGCGGTCTGTTTTTAAACTTTTCTTTAAAAATAAATTCATCTATGTTTGTTACATTATTTGTTTTCAGATTACTGGATTGGTATTAATGGCATAGAGAATGAATCTTCTTTCCTACATGTCGATGACACCAATCTTAAAACAACCTTCTGGTTTCACGGTCAACCTCAAACCAGTGGCACTGAGGACTGTGTCGTCGAACGAACAGAAAAGTGAGTAATGGTCTTTCCAACATACTTATAGGCAGTATCCTGTATCACTGCAAATAACACACGTATACGTAATATACTGCACATGTTATACCTCGATATCAATCATATACTGTTGTTAAAAGTTCAAGTAATATATATATATCATTAGGTTCAGTGCAACTGTTCATTATTATTATTGCAGCAATGTTACTCTGTGGAAGGCGTTAAACTGTTCCCGTGTTAGCCGGGCAATCTGTCAACGGGAAGGTAAATAGATACATACACAATTTGGCCATATGTGAATACATAACACATTTGTGTAAAACCTACATGGATATGCGACCGCTTGTAGTGAATATATTTTAAATCAACAAGTTAGAAACATCACAATACCGATAGAAGTTGACATCAAAATATTTCAGTTTTACAAGATCGTTCTCATTCGTTAGTGTATTACACTATATTAATGAATTTTTGTTTTCTCGCTATAGTCACTGCATTGTCGACGGTTCCAGCGACAACCACTGGTAAACTACAAACAACTGAAAGAGCATTAACACCAACAACAGCATACATAACGACCTATATGGAGTCAACTTCGCGTTTCATGGCAACAGCAATACCAACAACGATGGCGACTATACAAGTACAGGCACCCGCGGTTCACCAAGGTATGGGAAATATTACTCGCTTATTTTTTTTCAAGTTCTATGCCATGTGTTACATTCATTTATCCTGATTAAAGCAACATATACTTTCTTGTAAAACTGAAAGACAACGATTATTGGTAATCCTCGATCATAATTCAGTGAACACATTTTGCCTGAAACATTGAGTGATCGTGTATATTTCGAATGATTAGACTCAGAAACATGAGACTATGTGATAGTTTGTTACCCCAAATGTCCTCCAAGCAAACAAACATACATGCAAAGCCTCTTACATCACAAACTTCACCCAAATGTAGACATGCAGTATTCTTTCTGTTTTACAGACGATGCAGGAACAACGTGTAATTCCGGATGTCAGACTATATGTAATTTTAATTGCCCGTGTGCAAAGTATATTGGAAGGACATGTGGTAAATATTATTGTGCTTAAAGTTGGGTTGTTTATAAGTATTGCTTTTTATTGCTGTCTTACCAAAAATGAATTGGATCGCCCCCATAAAGTTTCCTGTGAAGGTAATAACATAGCCTCATTTGATAATCGGGATGACAAATATTTATCAGTATACCACAACAAGTCTGACCCTCTTACATACATGTTGTACTTGCAGTCACCAATGATATCGCAACAAATAATTATTGTATTATGTAACTTGTGTATTTATTAATTTCTTTTTGTCATTGTTTGTCACTTTTTTGTTTAATAATTGCTTCTATATGCATCTAGTATGTTGCTCAAACCTGGTAAGCAAAGTCATAGTACGTCTGTTTTTTCAGACGATGTAAATTTCTAGCAATCGTATACAAAATCACTAAAATATGATTAATATTTATACCACAATAATCTTTACTATCAATAGCTCTTTTAAAATATACATTGTTACATATCGTTACAGTAATTCGATCTGTTGGATGCTACTCTGACAATGCCATTCACGCAATACCGTCACTAGAAGGAACAGACCATCGGCTGCAGGGAAATCCTCTGACACGGAGAAAAGCGGTGGAGACATGTGCTGAAGTAGTCAAGGAGCTCGGATACACCATGTTTGCAGTTCAAAATAGCATGTGCTTTTCGGGTTGTTCGGCTTGCCTGGACTACAATAAATATGGACTGTCACATAACTGCTCCCCAATGGGTAGTGGCGGTATACTAGCCAGTCAAGTTTATATATTTTCAGCATAGGTTCAAGGCGTTGACTTACTTCGAGTTGTTGAAAATAAATGCATGATCACAATCATCCGATATTA